TATTAAGACCTTAATTTTCATTCCGTTAGATTTATAGGTGAGATAAAAACGAAGAGCGTGCAATGAAATGACGAAATGGAGAAAGAGAGAAAAGAAACAAAAGTGGGAGTGAAAGAAGAAAGACAAATAAAAAAAAGAGAAAAAAAGAAAGAGAGAGAGAAATAAAGAGAGAAATAAAGAGAGTGAGAGAGAGTTGAAAAAAAGTAGAAAGAGAATGAGAGAGAAAGAGAGAAAGATGAAGAAATGGGAAGTTTACAAATGGCAGCAATCGGCCCTAAAAGCCGATGTAACAAAAAAATATTAAAAGAGACGAAATCGAAAACATTTAACAGAAAAAAATGAACAAACATAATCAGATCATTCATTTGCACGTAGAGTTTTCGCAAAATAAAACATAAAAAAACAAATAAATCACGAATTAAAATAAATAAATAAATAATAAAAACCAAAGGAAAAATATTGGCTATGTACTTTTAGGTGGTCTGTGTGATACTATACTGAGGTGGCCATTCTGCTGCTCCTATTAATCGTATAAACTGACGTTTTTCTACTTTTCTCTTTCATTCTTTCCTTTTTTCACTCATTCATTCTTTCTTTCTTTCTTTCTTTCGATCTGTCTTTCTTACTTTCTTTTTTTCTTCCACTTTTCTCCTTCTCTCTCTATTTTTTATCTAACCTCTCTTCCTTGCTCAATATCTTTATTTTTTCATTTTTCTTATGTTCTTTACCTCTTTCTTTCTCTCTTTCCCTCTCCCTCCCTTTCTCTCCCTCTCTCTTACCTTTTTTGTTTATTTTTCTTTCTCAATCTTCTTTCTTCTTTCCTTCATTTTTTTAATTAACTTCTTGATTTATTTATAATTATATCGATAAAAAACAAAACAAAAAAATTCCAAGAGACAAAAAAAAATTTCTCTTTTGATCATGGGTCTATTTTTAAAATGAAAAGAAAATTAATTATATTTTCAGATTTTAATTAACCTGACTTGTTATTATGGATTAATTTTACGTGTGTATTCATTCACTCTTTCTCTCTCTCTCTCTCTCTCTCTCTTTTAATCTTTTTTCTTTTTATACCTATCTATAAATTCATTCATACATTCTTTCTTTTATTCATTCATCATTATTAGTAGTTATTATAGTAGTAATGGTGGTAATAATAATAATTATTATTATCAATTTTATTATTATTGTTGTTTTTGTTGGTGTAAGCAAGCCTTCTATTCCATGTCGCGACAGTTACGTGTTATCGTTCAGATAATAAAATGAATAACTCAAATTATGATATATGAACTGTGAAAGAGAGAGAGATAGAGAGAGAGAGAGAGAGAGAAAGAAAGAGAGAGAAGAAAGAAAGAGAAAGGGAAAAAGAGAAAAAAAAGAAATATATCAACTCAATAAATAATCTCTGGTTCTCTCTCTCTCTCTCTCTCTCTCTCTCTCTCTCTCTCTCTCTCTCTCTCTCTCTCTCTTTGTCTCTCATACACACACAAATATATATATATATATATGTATATATATATATATATATATATATATATTGTTGATTCCGTTTGTGGTGGTACCAAAGCTTCTATGGCCTCTAACAGTTTATGAAGTCAACTTACTCACAGTAAAGAGCCTTGAAAGAAAAAAAATCAACCGGTTCACACGTAAGTGGTTGGGACTTCCTCCAGGTCTGACGTCATCAGCGTTATACAGTAGAAGTACACTACTAAGACGTTCTCTGAAGTCTCTGGTGGAAGAATTCAAGGTTGCAAAATTTAAGTGTCAATGGGTGTTAAACAATTCGGCTGTCGAGTGTGTAAAAAAACGAAAAAGACGATCAAGTTGTATGAGACATAAAACATACATGACATATATGAGACATACAACCGAACAAGAGTCTTACTGAATATGGTGGAAGAAAAAGGAATGCGAGTTTAAATAGTTAACAGACGAGCTTGTGTGCACGTAAGGCTTCTAATTACTCAACCCTGAAAGATTCGGCTCAGCGTGTTACTTGGCTCATCGATATAACTCACATCGTGATGTGTTTATATGTGAACTGTCTGGCAAGCCTACACAATTTTTCAGTATAAAAGGAGGTGATTTTAAAGCGAAGCAAAGTGTTTGTTCAGCAAGAGACATCCAACTGATCTTTGGATGTGACTCTGTTTCTCAAGAGGTCAGAAAGTTAAAGGGCTGAAACACTCGTTGACAGAAACTCATCCTCTGAAGAATCTCGCTGAACGCTCGTCATGTTTGAGTTTCTACATACATATATATCTATATTGATATGTTTTTATTTATCCATAAATGCATACATAAATACGCACATTCTTTTATTTTTTTCTCTTTCTCTCGCTCCCTCTTTCCCCATTCTTTTTATTAACTTTCTCTCTCTCTCTCTCTCTCTCTCTTTCTCTTATTTTCTCTCGCACATTCCTAATAATGTCTGACGTCATAGTTGCCGAAGTTCCCGCCAAATGTTTCCATGATTTATTGCCAGCAATCTTATATTTGTTCTCCTATAACGAAGTTCCAATTAGAATCAAATTGAAAAATCGTCTGCCTTGCAATATATGGGTTTCATTCATTTTCTCCTAAATTGTTTATTCATTCATCCATTCAATCAATCATTTATTCATCCATTTGTTCTTTTATTTGTGTGTTCGTTCGTTCGTGCATACATACATACATGTATATATACATATGTATACATACACGTACACAAACAGTAGACAGTCTGACAGACAGACAGACAGATATGCATAAATAAAAACAAAATGGAGGCTTACGATTTCGCGCCACTGTCATATCGGTGCTTTTTTTGACATAATGTTAATCATGTCTATGCTAATACTGACGTCATTTCGAATGTGTTTTACAACTTATTTGTCCGGGGCTAAGTTGGCGTTTATTTATCTTTGTTTTTGTTGTTTGTCTGTTTGTGTTTGTTATTGTCTTTCTTTTGGTGTTGCTGTTTTATATCTTTGTTCTCTTCTCTTTGTATCTCACAGAAACGTCATCAGAGTTTCTATTATCGCCACTGACATCATGGTCGTCGGGAATATTATTTTTTTGAAATAATGAAAATAATTTTGTTTATTAGTTGTATCTGGCCGGAACCTTTTTCTCATGCCAAAAAATCTGAGACTTCCTTTTTACGTTTTTGTTGCTGTTGTTGTTGTTGTCGATGTTGTTGTTGATGTCGATGTTGTTGTTGATGTCGATGTTGTTGTTGATGTAGTTGATGTTGCTGGTGATGTTGTTGTTGTTGCTGATGATGTGGTTGTTGATGTTGTTGTTGTTGTTGATGTTGTAGTAGTTGTTGTAGAGACCGACCGAAATTCGGTTTCGGTTTCGGTTTCGGCGCCGAAACTGCCAATTTTTCTAGTTTCGGCCGTGATTCGGTTTCGGCCGAATGTTATATTTCAGTTTCGGCCGTTTTTCGGTTTCGGCCGAATGTTATATTTCAGTTTCGGCCGTTTTTCGGTTTCGGCCGAAACTAAATCATATTTGCCGAAAAAAACCGAAAATATTTTTTTTTCAAAAATACTTGAGTAAATTACATGAAAGTGATAAATGTCTTCTAAGGAAAACTGAACTACAAGTGGATTATTGCCGAAAATGTTTGATATTCTTAAATAACTATATAAAACTACATCATTTATCATCACACTCATATATATAAGTGCATATAAATGTATATATAATCCTTATTGTATTGGGTGGTCTATATATATATGTATATATATATATATATGGCTCTAAAATTTACAAAGTTTATCTTTATTGAAATTTGACCATGCCTGATAAACACATCAACATAATTTATGCAGAGATGGACTTAAGCTCAACTCAATTTTTCATGGTTCAGCGCTATTTATATACACACACACACAAGATATAATTTATAAATTCTCACCATATATATATATTTATTTATTTATATATATTATATATATATATATATACGCACAAGTATAATAAGAATAACATTTCATTGTCTATAAAAAAATTTTAAACTTCTTTGTTAAATTAATTCTGAAATCGAGTAAACAATAATTTGAATAATTAAACAAAAGTCGTTGAAATGTCGTTAAATCCAATATGGAAGTATTTTACAAAGATCCAGTCTGACAAAAGCAAAGCACGTTGCAATGAATGTGACAAGTTATACTCTTTAGGAAGTACACTGCCGAAGAACCAGACTGTTTGTGGTTTGAAAAATCATCTTGAAAAGTATCACAAAGGTCTGTTTTCAAAGTTTCTTTTAAATATTGAAGAAAAAAATAGTTTTTTGAGGGAAGCCAAAAAACCGAAATTAGATGAATCTCATTCAAAACATTCAGATGTTTCAATTCAACCAACAATTTCGGAAAAAGTTATATAAATGATGTTCTATTAAAATTTTCAATATTCGGTTTCGGTTTCGGCCGAAAATATTTTTTTAGTTTCGGTTTTTTTCGGTTTCGGCCGAAACCTATTTTTTAGATTCGGCCTTATTTCGGTTTCGGCCGAAACTGAAATTTCAATTTCGGCTTTGTTTCGGTTTCGGCCGAAAGAAAAAAAACAGTTTCGGTCGGTCTCTAAGTTGTTGTTGATGCTGTTGTTGTCGATGTTAAGTTTATCTAAAGTTAATTAAGTATAAGACATCAAACAATATTCTAACGATAATAAATTCATTTTTTCGTCCGAAAAAAGATTTTAAATTTTAAATTCAATTTAAATTTTAAAAAAAGGAGCCGTATAAATTATTAGAAAACAATGACGTCATGAAATTATTATGTAAACAAATTTTTTTTAATTATTTTGTCATTCATTTACCGATACATTACTACTGCTACTATTACTACTACTACTGCCACTACTTCCGCTACTGCTACTAATACTACTACTACCACATTAACAGCAACTACTACTACTACTACTACTACTACTACTACTGCTAGTAGTAATTGTACTAAATTATAGTCATAATTATTTTCGTAATTATTATAAATGGTGTGCAAGATAGGATGACCAGTTTGAAAGAAATGAAAAGTTCTTCGTTCAAGAAGCTCAACCCGGTCTATTATTATTGTTATTATTATTATTATTATTGTTATTGTTATTATTATTATTAATTATTATTGTTATTGTTATTATTATTATTAATTATTATTGTTATTGTTATTATTATTATTATTATTAATATTATTATTAAATCATGTTTTATGTTTTTATGAGCATTGGAAACGTCGTAAAAAAATTTTTTTATTATAAATAATCAAATTTTTAAAATAACTTGCATGCGTTAATTATTGTAACCAATTAAACGTTTTTAAATATAAATATGGATAATTGTTATTATTATTATTATTGTTATCAGCAGTTTTATAGCGCTTTTTTTCAAATTTATATATTTATTAAACATTTACTTTTAATTATTTCAGTCTCCGGAAAATCCCACCAACCAGCCTGAAAAACCCAGTGAACTTGAGGGATCCATAAACTCGGAATGGTATGTCAATTCTGATTGGGCCCGGAATGATGAAGGCCCAACAAACGCGGAAGTCTCTAGAGCTAGAAAGCCCACCAACAACTATGAAGAACGAACTCCTGGCAGCTGTCACAACAAATTTAAAATCCAAAATGGAGCCAAAAATCATGGAGAGAGAGCCAAACTTATCGATAAATTTTCAGACAAAATGACTAGACAGTACCTAAGGGTTGTCATTGTCTTTGCTAGCTTCTTCTTTGTGTCTGTACTTGTGGATTTCGCTTCGTATAACCTGTGGAGAATTAATTTTGTGAACTTTTGTAATCTTTTTCCAGGTGCATGGGCATCAATATCTATCTACGTTTACTGCTTCCCAATTGCAGGTAGGATTAAGAATATTTTGATTCAGACGATTTGTCTTGCATTCCTGGTCACTGCCTCTCTCCAAGTTGAGTTGCCGTTTTTTGCCAGTTTGACTGAGTTTGGCTTGAAGTTGATTGAGGTCGGCTGTCAGATGCTCGTTAAGTTTCTGCTGTTTGCATGCATTGAAAATTATCTTACTATGTACTGTAGGTTTGATTTTGTTAGGGTCTGATGGTCTTGGTGAGAGAGTGAGAAAAAGAGAGAGAGAAAGAGAGAGAGAGAGAAAGAATTAGAGATTAGAGAGAGGTTGCAAGGGAGAAAGAAATTTTTACGTTAATTTTCCAACCATCATATGAATTTTGTAACAATTAACTTTAAAATTAATTCAATGAAACATCTAACTAGAGCAATTTTTCTCGAAAATCATATTTCTTTTTCTAAATAAAAATTTTGTTTTGTCAACAAAATAAATTACAAATCTGTATGAGTGTGTGAGTGTGTGCGTGCGTGTGTATGTGTGTGCGTGAGTGTGTGCGTGTATGTGTGTGAGTGTGTGTGTGTGTGTGCGTGTGCAATTATAATCTGAGAATAATTGTGTGAAGCTCATGCAACTAGGTGACTATAAACAACAATAATAATAATAACAACAACGGCAACAATAATAATAATAAACTTGTGCCATAACAGTAACCGCAAGATCATTATCATAACTATTGAACGATTGATCGAATGAGTAAAAAATGAATAAAAAGACTATTACTAATGAATTGAAAACAAGAGTGAAATGTTTAAGGGTAATTCACATATATAATAATAATAATAATAATAATAATAATAATAATAATAATAATAATAATAATAATAAACATCTAGAATCTACTGATATTGAAAGAAATCGATATTTTCAATAATACTTTTATTGGTTTTTTTTTTCTTGCAATTGTTAATATATCTGCTAATAAATCTTTCTCTTTCTCTCTCTCTGTCTTTCTCTCTCTCTCTCTTACACTTTTATAGTTTGTTTTTTAACTTAATAGTTTCTTTATCTCTCTCTATCTCTTTCTTTCTCTCTCTCTTTCTCTCCCTCTCTCTCTTTTAACGTTTTGTATTTCATCTTATAGCTTATTCTTTGTTAATTTTCTTTATTATTTATTTTCACTTTATCTCTCTCTCTCTCTCTCTCTCTCTCTCTCTCTCTCTCTCTCTCTCTTTCTCTCTCTCTCTCTTTTTCTCTCTTTCCATCTTTCTACATCTTTCGTTTTCTCTATTTCCTCTTTCCTTCTTACATTCATTGGTGGCTAGTAAAAGTGTGCGGATTGATTGATGGGTAGATATTTTATCATTGAATATTCCCCTGCCTCCTCTTACCTCAATTTGCCTGATCTCTCTTCTGGGAGTTATACAAAATACAATACCTTTGTATGGTATTTTTTGTATTTTTTTATTCGTTCATTTTGTTTGTTTCGGTTTTTTTACTTAGAGTTGCGTGTATGTGTGTGTGTGTGTGTGCGTGCGTGTGTGCGTGTTTGTTATTGGTCAGTTTTTTGCATGTGTGTTGTTTTTATTGTATTTGTTCGCCATTCATTCATTCATTCATTCATTCATTCATTCATTCATTCATTCATTCATTCATTCATTCATTCATTCATTCATTCATTCATTCATTCATTCATTCATTCATTCATTCATTCATTCATTCATTCATTCATTCATTCATTAATTCATTCATTCATTCATTCATTCATTCATTCATTCGTTCATTCATTCATTCATTCATTCATTCGTTCATTCATTCAATCATTCATTCATTCATTCATTCATTCATTCGTTCATTCATTCAATCATTCATTCATTCATTCATTCCTTCATGCGTTCATTCAATCATTCATTCCTTCATTCATCAAACGCTAGGAGAGAAAATTCAATGTCTTATTCTCGCAAACAATCATCATCATCATCGTCGTCGTCGTCGTCACCACCATCTACTTTTCCTTCATCATCATCATCATCATCGAAATCATGATAATGATTATCATTACCATTGTCGTTATGAAATTTACCATCATCATCATCCTCATCATCATCATCATCAGCAGCAGCAGCAGCAGCGGTCTGGCGAATTAAATTTTCTTTCAACGTTCTAGATAATAACGACGATGAAAATGACGTCACCGTGTTGTCACGATCATTACCATCATCAACAGCGCTGTCATCATCATCATCAACATCAGCATCAGCACCGAGATCATCTTGGCCGTATGTTACATCCGGTCTTTGATTCTTGTTGTTACAAATCGTAGTTTTATTGTTGCTGTTGTTGTTGATGATGTTGTTGTTGTTGCTGTTTATACTCTCGTTAATTTGGCAGGGAGGCCAAATTTCTTGGGGCAATGTTTTTGGAGGATGTGCTGTTGTTGATGTTACTAATGTTGTTGTTACTGTCGTTGTTGCTGCCGGTGTTAGTAATGTTGTTGTTGATGTTGTTGTAGATATTTTTGATGTTGATGTTGTTGTTGTTTTCAATGCCTGTACATCTTTTATTATAAGATCTGAAAAGTTTTTGGACGATTCCATTTTCTTAATGTCATTATTCTCCNGGGTTTTTGTCAACCGTTC